TGGATACACCTGATATTAAAATTGGAGAAAATATATTATTATAAAAGGGAAATTACAAACATATTTCACTTATAAATGAGGATGCAATATGATAAACAACATATTAACATGTTGAATTAAAAATTAATGTTTAAGTAATGTACTTTGGTCAAAATTAAATACAATTTATATGTCTCCCTCTCTCTTTATCTGTTTCTCTCTCTTCTTTTCTTTCTCTGTCTCCTGCTGGGTCACTCTCCCTTTCTATCTCTATCTCCATCACTATTCTTCCTCTTTCTCCCTCTTCCGGCCTCCCTTGTCTGTGTGTCTCTCTCTGTGCTTTTCTGTATCCTGTTCTCTCTTCTCTTCTCTTCCCTTCTCTCTTCCTCTCTCTCTCTCCCCCTTTCTCGTCTTACTTCTCTCTCCCAGCTGGCCCTTTAGACTTCTAACTCTCAATCCCTTGTCTAACCTCTATCTCTAGGCCCCATTGTCTCTATGATCCCCATCCTTCGGTTTCCCTAAATCTCCATCTTCCCCTCCCTTCTGCCCCCAGGACCTCGGCAGGACCCCAGGCTGCACTGGCAAGCAGGCCCAGAACTTGGCCGCTCCTTCTTGCATGGACTAGAACTGGACAATGGGCAGCTACGTATCTGTCGAGATGGCATCTACAGGTTGCACATCCAGGTGACACTGGCCAACTGCTCTTTCAGGCGGACCACCACACCCCGCAGTGCCTCCTTGGTTGTGGGCATCTGTGCCCCCACCACCCACACCATCAGCCTACTACGCCTCAGCTTCCACCAGGGTTGTACCGTGGCCTCCCAGCGTCTGGTTCCTCTGGCCCAAGGGGATATCCTCTGCACCAATCTCACTTTGCCACTGCTGCCCTCCCAAAATGCTGATGAGACTTTTTTTGGCATTCAGTGGGTGCACACATGAATGCTGCTACTGGTTTAAATTGTTTCTTCAGACTTGGAGGCTGTACCTCAACGGCTAGGGCAGCAGCCACATAAACCAGAGCTGGCAGGTTAGAATCCAACCTGGGCCTGCCAAACAACAATGACAATTACAACAACAACAAAAAATAGCCGGGCGTTGTGGTGGACACCTGTGGTCCCAGCTACTTGGGAAGCTGAGGCAAGAGAATCACTTAAGCCCAAGATTTTGAAGTGGTTGTGAGTTATGATGCCACAACACTACTGGGGGAGACATAGAGAACTCTGTCTCAAAAATAAAATAAAAATAAAAAAATAAATTACTTCTTCAGGGTGGTAAGTAGTATGGACATTTTAACAATATTAATTTTTCCAATTTATAAACAAAAAAGTTGATAAGTATTTTATTCTTTTTCTTGCTCTTACTAGTAATGAACTATCTTTTCTTAGCTATCTTTAATGTTATATTTTGTGCTTTTATTAACATTCGTGAATTTGTCTCTTCTTGTGTGGTGTTTTTTGTTTATTTGTTTTTTTTCTTGAGACAGAGTCTTGCTCTGTCACCCAGACTGGAGTACAGTGGCACAATCACAGCTCACTGCAACCCTCCTGCGTCAGCCTCTCAAGTAGCTGGGACTAGGGACCTGCCACCAGCTAATTTGTGAATTTTCTGTGGAGATAAAGTATCACTGTGTTATCCAGGCCAGTCTCAAACTCCTGGGCTTAAGCAATCCTCCTACTTAGCCTCCCAAAGTGTAGGGATTAAAGGCGTGAGCCACCATGCCTGGCACTTAGTATGAGTTTTCTAGCTTTATCCTCTCCAAAAGTCCACACTGCTCAAAATTGTTCTCATCCTGCCTGGCTTGGATCTCACAACTCAAAACCTGCCTGAGATTCCTGCTCTGTCCTGACATCTTCTGGGTCTCTCTCTCTCTCTCTCTCTTTTACACACATACCTGCACACGCACATGACACCCTCAATAAACCTCACCAGTGTTCACAGAGCTCTGATGTCTCAGATACTCATGTATCTCTAAATTTCCCTTATTCTCTTTTTTCATTGTTTATTCATTTGTTTATCTTTTCCCTCCTCTCTCCTTCCTCTCAAAGCAATCTCTCACTTATTCTCACAGTTAAAACCACAAGAAGCCCATGCCATCACCTCTCTTTCTTTGGACCACAAGATTTGTCCAATTTGAAATGTAGTTTTATTTTTAGTAAGTTTAGTTTTGTCACACCAGAAGCAGGGCTGAGTCACCCTTGGCAGTGTCCAGCTCGGCCTCCTCCCTGTTCCTCAATGTTATCGATCCAGACACTTGCCTTACAGGACCACCCCCACCTGCTGAGCACACACATCCCAGACAGCTTCCCACATCATGTTGGCCCTGTGAGGTGTGCCAGCCTCTTCTCTCCACATGTCTAACCTCTGACCTCTCCCTTCTGTCAGCCCTCTGCAGTCCATGGAGTGAGTGCATTTACACACCTATGGAGCATGTGATAGTCCGACAGGCCCTCAGAGGACTGGTGATTGTGCCACTGTACCCCAGGAGCTTATCATGACAGGAGAGGAGAAGCAGCCCTGGGGCCTATAGAGGGCTGACAGAACAGGAGTCAGAAGTCAGTGGTCAGTGGTTAGGGAGTTGCAGTCTTTAGTCTGGAGATTAGGAGAAAGAGCCTAATTCAAAAACAGTACACTGGTAGGGCAGCATTGCTCACACCTATAATCCCAGCATCCTTGGCTCAGGCTGAGGTGGGAGGATTGCCTGAGCTCAGGAGTTTAAGACCAGACTGAGCAAGAGTGAGACCCATCTCTAAAATATAACTGGGTATTGTGGTAGGCGCCTGTAGTCCCAGCTACTCGGGAGGCTGAGTCAAGAGGATCACTTGAGCCCAAGAGTTTGAGGTTGCTATGAGCTGTGATGCCATGGCACTCTACCCAGGGTGACAAAGTGAGAGTATGTCTCAAAAATAAAAATAGGAAAACTAGCCAGTCATGGTGAGGTGTGCCTGTAGTCCCAGATACTCAGGAGGCCGAGGCAGGAGGATCACTTGAGCCCAGAGTTTGAAGTTGCTGTGAGCTATGATGAAGTTGCTGTGATGCCATGGTACTCTAGTGACAGAGAAAGACCCTGTCTCAAAAAAATATTAATACCCTCCCAAGCACCCAACCTATTGCCAGCAGGCCCAGTGACTCTTTCATCTGATCTCCCACATACTTTGCAGAAACCTTTATTGGTGGTGAGGCAGAACTGCATGACTGTTAAACATGCAGCCTATGGGACAGGTGCCCATTCCCAGGCACATCACTTTGCCTCTCTTTACATGCTAAACAGAAGGCTGTAGTCAGTTGGAGGCTCAACCGGGGTGGCATATCTGCTGCAAGGTCTCCCATGTGATTGCTGGAAGGCCTCAGTCCATCACTGATTGCTGACCAAGGCTTCCCTCCCTCACCATGTGGTTCTCGGCACAAAACTGCTGGAACATTCCCACAAAATAGCACCTGCTTTCCCCCAGAGTGAGTGGTCTGTGCAAGACGAAATGCTGGCTTGTCCCGTCCATTTCTTTGAACTGAAACTATAATACATCCCAGGCTGTCTCGGGTCTCCTGCTTGCCAACCTTGGAATTCCTTAGATCTTGAAATGTTTCATCTTCCATAATCATATGAGCTAATTTTATAATAAACCTCTACATCCTCCTGGTTCTGTTTCTTAAGAGAATCTTGATAATTACAGATTTGATACCAAGATTCAATAGTAACAGATTTTTAAAGATGAGATTTCTGAATTAGTTCTGGGGCTTCTGAAATTGGCTCTTTGAACTGATAAGATTTTTTAAAAATTTTTTCCTTAATTTTTGTAGAGACAAGGTCTTGTTCTTGTTCAGGCTGATCTCAAAATCCTGGCCTCAATTGATACTCCTGCCTCTCAGCCTTCCAGAGTGCCGCAATTACAGTATAAGCCACCTTGCACCTGACTCTGATTAGATTGATTAGATTTAAAGATGCTAAGACTTTATTCCAGTAGTAAAGAGACCACTGACATTCTGAAGCATGATCTGGCAATAGAGATATGCAAACTATCACCACCCAGTGCTCCTAGGTACCCAATGATACAAGGCAAAGATCTGAGTGACTACATATGTGATACTTTTGAATCTTTTGGACAAACTAATGAAAACAATGAGATTAGCTGGTAACCCCTAATGTCATTGGACAAAATGAGGGAATAAAATCATGGGTTTAGGGAACTTAATTCTCAGCTCAAGTGCTATACAAGTGACCTGAAGTCTACATGTGCCCTGAGAAAACCCTCTCTTTAGTAGCCACAGGGTCGGGACTGCTGAAAATCAAACCCAGAACCTCATCATGTGCCTGGCTGAACTCCAGCTTCACTGAGTGTCTACTGCTAAGGTTGAGAACAGTGATCAGAAAGGAATGGGATCCTGTAAGTTGGAACTGGGGTATGTGGGAAGACCATGGGGAAGCTGAGGGACATCAAGCTCCTAAATTCTGATGGGTTGTCTTTGCCAGTGGAAGAGGATTTTCCAGCCCCACCTGGAGGTATAAACCCTTTTTCACCTGAGAAACTGTTCTGCCCTCTCTTACATGCAGTTTCTGTGCAAGACAGTGATGATTCTCCTGGGGACTCACGCCCCCCGCTCAGTCCCTGAGATTACACAAACACACACACACACACACACATTGCTTCTAGACCTTTAAATAGACTCAAGTCCCAGCAGGTCCCTAAAAGGTACAAAGTGTGGCCCATGAGGTATGCTACACTCCAAAAGACCTACTTGAATTTTCTAATTTATACAGAAAGAAATCTGAGAAACAGTTGTGGGAATGGATAATTAAGGGTGTGAGATAATGGTGGAAGGAATATCAAGTTAGATTAGGCTGAATTTATTACTTATTCATTCATCCATTCACTTATTTTTAGAGACAGGGTCTTGCTCTATTATGGAGGCTAGAGTGCAGTGATGCAATTCGTTGCTCACTGCAGGTGTGAACCCCTTGGCTCAGGTGATCCTCCCCTCTCAGCCTCCTGAGTGGCTGGGACTATATGCATAATGACTTTTTTTTTTTTTTTTTTTTTGGTAGAGACAGGGTCTTACTATGCTGCCAATGCTAGTCTCAACTTCCCAAGCTCAAGTGATTCTCCCATCTTGGCCTCCCAAAATGTGTGATTATAGTCATGAGCTGCCACAACTAGCCTATATTTTGTGCATAATATATAGCAAATATCTTTGTTTTCTTATGTCTCTCTTTTCTTTATCATGCAACATAAGATGTACCAACTTATGATGATACCATAATATTTAGGTATTATTAACTTTACATCATAGAAATTAAGTTTACCCAAGAGGATTAAACCTTGTTAAATGACTTTATCTCTTTTATTCTCTCAAGGGAAGGGATTGTGTGTTGTTAGCTATATGCAGATAGTTGATCATGTGAGGCAGAATTATGACCTGTTACCATCTCTACTTGGAGATTAAGTATGATTTAAGAAGATGTATGTGGGTGCCAAGTTGACACAGGGCAGACTTATAATACTAATTGTATGTGTTAACTTGACTGAGCTATGGAGTACCCAGAGGTTTTCCCCCAAGCTTCATCCTGCAGGATGCCCAAAAATTTGGCTAAACATTATTCCTGGGTGTGTCTGCAGCTGTGTTTTTAGATGACATTAACACTTGAATCAGTAGAGTAAAGCAAAATGTGAGTTTGCCTCATCCAGTCAGTTGTAGGCCAAAATAGAACAAGAAAAGCTGAGTGAGAGGGAACTCTTTCTGCCTGACTACTTTTGAGCTGTCATTCTCCAATTATGCACACATGCGCGCACACACATCCTATTGTGTATAAATAAATTCCTCTTTTTCTCTGTTCTCTGTCTCTCAGGGGAAAAAAAAGTGATGTCTCAGCTCAAAAGTCTACCAATTTCAGTATTAATTTATTTAAGAAATGCCCTCACAGACACACCCTTATGTTAAGCCAATTA